GTGGACCCTAAGAAAACTGGGATGCTGGTACAGCATTTCCTCAATTAGTGACTGATGGAGAAGGGCCTAGCCAATTGTTGGATGGTGCCATCCCTGAGCTGGTGTGTTCCTGGGTTCTGTAAGAAAGCAGGCCAATGAGTAACACCCTCGACAGCCTCAGCATCAGCTCCTGCCTCAAGGTTCCTGTCCTGACTTCTTTCAATGATGAACACTGATGTGGAAGTATAAGCCAAATAAAACTTTTCCTCCCAAGTTGCTTTGATCATGGTGTTTTATTGCAGCAATAGTAACCCTAACTAAGTTAATGCTGTAGGTATATAAAGGCAACCATATGGACCTGGTGTCAAACTTTAGTAGCCCACAATTAGCAAGCAGTTTGTTCAGTGGCTTCTCTGAAATCAAGATGATGGGGGAAAAAAGTCTGTCAGAAAGTATTCATGGCATAAGATATGACAGATATCACCTATAATACATCCAAAGGAAAAAAAATGTAGAAATTTTGACAGGGAAGACATTACAATGAAAAAGAAATCCCTTTGCCTACATATCAGGCCATTCATCAATTTATAAATGAACATGAGGGGGCACTGGCTGACATTTGACCTTTGTCCTCTCTGTAGCATATATAAAGACTAAATGTAAACTAAGTACAATGCAGAACACAATTCACATGTGATAGGATGAATACATTAATACTACTACATGCTGCTTCTCTAAGGGAGAGGGTAAATTGTGTATCACAAACACATCTTATCAGCCCAAGAAAATCACAATTCATGGAGATAAATGATCTATTTCTATGTCCTAGAGAATAATACACACAGAGAGAGAGAGAGAGAGAGAGAGAGAGAGAGAGAGAGAGAGAGAGAGAGAACATTCCTATCTAGCCTAACATACTACCCTATAAAGAACTGATACGGAAATGATCACTGTCAACTAAAACATCTACTCAAGAAAGAAAGATGCTATTGAGTATGGGGTGATGAGGAGAATGGATTAGCCATGTATAATCCTAAATGACCAGGAAAAGCAGTACTAGGGGAAACAGCATTGCTAACTGCTTTCCTTCTAACCAAAATTCGCCTCTATAAGATGAAATAAATAAGTCATGGAAGGTAGGGGCTAGGGAGCTGAAATATAAATCAGCTAGCTGTCAGATGTCTCAGTCTTTAATATTATAAATGTTGGGAAGGAAACCATTCGGACTACTACAAAGAAAAATTTTAAATGAGCTCATTAAATGTAAATTAAAACAGAAACATTGAATAAGCACTAGGCTACAATTAAAGGCTGAAGAAACAGCAGGTAAGAAACAATTTTCATTGATCAAAGAACTGAAAGCTAACAGAATAAAGCATTTTGCATTGAACCTGGTTCATAAATATTAAGCATGTCGAAATAAGGAGAACTCTTTCTTTATTTCTTTTTTTTTCTTTTTCCTTTTTTTTTTTTGTGGGGGGAGGGTTCAAAGAAGCTTTAGAGGCAGGGATGAATTTGCATATCTTAATACCACATACTTTCAATGTATCATTTTCAAGCCATGGAGCTTTGGATTTTAAAAAATGCAGACTTCAGAAAAACCTTTAGAAATAGGACCAACATTTGTAAAGGCATAACGTTTTTTCAGAGGCTTTGGACCCAAAAGAGAACTGAATAAAATTATATAAACTCTTCTATACAAAAGTTTTGTAGAACTCATTTTGTGACACAAGGCCACCTCATAGCAAACAGTGTTTAGAGTAGAGTTGCTTTCATCCAAGTTATTAAAGCACAAGTAGCAGCACACAGTACATTCAACTACACCTACAAACTCCAAGACCTGAAATTTCCCGCATACCAGTTTTAAAACAAAGCTAGACGTTGGGCCAAGAGTCATTATAGATGAAATATTTACAATGACTAAGCGAATACATGCTCAGGCCTGGAATTTATTTTTGTAAAATTCAATCATTATAAAACGATTCCTAATATCCTAAAACTCCTTTTCAAATTAAAATGTTCTACCCTTTATCTGTAGAAAAGACAATTTAGAAAGAAAGTACTTGCTGGCAAGTGATAATAAATGTATCCTAACACTGTCAGAGAGGCCAGGACCCCAAAGACACCTGTGAAGCACGTACGCTGAAAGGCCCTATGACTACTGAACGTTTACTTAAAAGGAAGAGTACTTTCCTAACTAGTAAATCCAATAAAAATGAAGAATAGGCAGGAATTAATGTGATTTTTATATGCAAACAGTTAAATCCTCTAAGTGATTTTAAACAAGATATAGGAAATAATATTTTAATCAATTAAAAAAAAACAACACTTGGAATGGAACCCAAGGTCTTCTGCACTCTAGGATATATCACTGAGATGCATTTCTATTTTAAACATTTTCTACAATGCTGGGTTTTAATTTAAGAACTGTCTTTTCCAATTGTATGCGTACTCATGTACCTTAATAGCTGATATTATCAAATGCCTAAATGTATAGTAAGTACATTGAGAACAATTCCCAATTGTCACCACTAAAAATCAATTTTAAACACAAAGAGGTGCTCGGTTTTTTTTTTTAATTTAAAAAAATGTTTTAAGAGGTGCTCAAAATTACATTTTTCTCAGTTAAATTTTCTGAAGCTTTTCTATTCTACTTTTCATTATTATGAATCCCTTCTCCATGCCTCACAAAGGCAGAATTTTTCATTAACTTCAATAAAATTATGGTTTAAGCCTCTCTGGGTCAAGGCATTTAGCACGTCAGTCATAATCCAAGTGGGAGATGTAAGTACTTTTGAAGCCATCTCCATGACAGGAAGGGAACCCTCTACTTTGAAACAATAAAAGGAAGATTATTTTATGGGTAATAAAGTATTCATCTCCTTTCCTTCTATCTGGCCAGGAAGCCAATCCACAGGATTTTTCTCAGATCAAGGGCTTCACTAACAGAACACAGTATTTCCTTCACTAGGCGGATACATACTGCTGGAGGAGAGAGCAGAAGTATAGAAGGCCTCAGCTCTCAGTAGTGCTATGCAGAGGAAGAAACTGTTCAGCTCCTGGAGCTATTTATGTGTCCTTTGCTCTGCAGCAGATCTCTGGGTAATTACCACCTGCCCTTGTTTCCTGCTCAACAATTCCTGCTCGACAATTAGTCATAAAAGTGCAAAACTATTCCTCCCAGAATTTCCTCTGAATTGTTTCCCCTCTCACCCGCTTTAGGCACTGTCACAGCACCCAAGCCTCCAACCTGGCAATTCAGAACTTTATTAAAATATGGCCACCAATAATAACAGGCAATACAACTAGTTAAACAAAATGTATGTAACATTGTTTATGCAGTTTTTTTAATGGAAGTTCCTTTTCTTGGGGCGGAAGACAAGGATTTAATCATTTGTGTTGAAATGCACACTTATTTACCCTGTTAAAAGAATACCCAAAGAAAAGAACAGTTTTTAACTTTGCCTTCTATTTCCCCGGTTTTTATCAGTAATTGATTTAATTGTAACATCCAAATGGCACAGTTCTTATCAAGAGAGTTCCATGTAAATCTAAATAAATTCACCTAAATGTATTCTATCCTAAAGTTATGAATATAATAATTTATGAGACTTTATAAAATGATTATTTCTAGGTCCTAATTTCCTACCTCTATATAGCCTTAGGGGACAATCACTCATCAAAACCATCCATGAACTAGATTTAGTTGAAAGAAACTAAACATGTATAAGTATCTTCAAACTATGAGATATTTCTTTCTTGTAAAATCTCTTGTAATTTTTTTTTCCTAATCTGCCCCACTTGGTTCTCACTGATTCAGTTCAGATTTGGGTTTACAAATGACTCTTAAGTAAATGGCACTTAAAATGCTTAGTGCCATTCATGAAAATGTACACTTTTAATTTAACAAGTTTCCAATTCACTCATCCAAAATACACACTACCCTACAAAGGTGAGAAGCAGCTGGGCATCATTCGTTTGTACCTCTGCTTCCATGAGGATCATAGCTGCCTAGCACGATTCTCAAGAGGAGGAAAGGAGGGCTGCACACTTAAACGGCATTGCTTTCATGAGTTAAAACAGACTTGGCTACTTTCAGCGAGTAACGCATTTACTTCATAAATGCATCTCTCATCCATCTTCTAGACACATCTTGGATAGACCGACTTCAGACGTGCTTGGTGCGATACCTGTCAGGCATGTATCACAAACAAGTTCACTAAATCTTCAGGACATCACTTGGGGGCGAGTCTACTCCAAACGGGAATGTGCGCTAAACACCACTAGGCATTTGTTTCTACTTATCCCGGAGGAGAATCCAAAAACGTGACTCCGAATTTAATATCTCTGCCAGAGAGGACCTTTCCAACCTTCCTACTTCGCAGTGCTCAGAACAACCCTAGCGGCCACTTCCAAAGCTGCACTGGTCAAACTGCACCCAGTTACAATCTGGGGGGGGGGGGGGGGGAATAGCATCTTGGCTGTTATCTACTCAGCTATTCTTTCTTCTCTGATCTCCGAGGACACATTTGAAAAAGACAAAACTGATGGATTCAAGTGCGATCTCCGCCAGGCAGATGCTTTCCTGAGATTCTCTTAAAGTCCTAGGGTGTGTGCACTCGCCCTGAAGTGATCGAGTTTGACCGAAACAGACCTGGACTGGTCACCCTGCGGTGCCGCAGGGCGAGCCCCGCCGTCGAGGGGCGCAGTGGAGCACGCGGGTGTCCGTGAGGACGCTGTCTACAGCGAGCACCTGGCTAACCTTGGCTAAGGAGGGGCGGGCACGGGAAACTCACACTTATGCTCTAGCACACACCCGACCCGGCCATTGGAGGGGGCCCCACGGTCCGAGGAAGGCCACAGAGCGGGCGGAGCGCGGCGAACACGCCTCCGCCCTGTCACTGACAGGTGGCTCGGGTCGGCCCCCGAGGACCCCACTCGGACCCGTGGGGTTGTGATGTGGCGCCACACACGGACGCGGGGCGGCGCGGAGAGATTGTACCTGGCAGGCACCCACGTACCTATCATGGTCACCGGGCGGGTGGTGGCTGCGGGGTGAGCAGGACCTACGCGGGCACTGGCGCCCGCCCGAGCCTCCCACCAGCGTTTCTGTCAGGTTTAGTCATCCAGGCCTCCCCCACCCCTCCCCTCGCGCGCCAGGCGGGCGCGGTGCGCACGCGCACCCGCCCCTAGCGCGAAGCCTGCCGGGAGTCGTAGTTTTAACGCGTAAGATTCTTCTCAGGCGGCCGCCTCTGTCTCCGCCGGTAACCTTTTCCGGAAATGCTCGTCACGGAGGGGCGGGACTAGCGGCCCGTTGTGTTGACCAGTCGCTTAGCAACCAGAAGGCTCACCTTTGAAAGCTTTTAGCGGCTCCAGCCTCGGATCCCAGCCCTCTTCCCGCCCCTCCCCTCCCCTAAACTCCCTCCACCTTGGTGCTGCCAAACATCTGGATCACCCTGGGCACCACGAGGGGTTGAATTTCTACCACTAACGCGCCTTTTTACATTTTTTCCCGACCCCCTGCTCACATCTGTAAGAGCCACTGGTTTTTCTACCACACCTTTGATAAGAACAAGACGTTTTCTAGGAAGATGGTGGCAGAAAAAGAGACCCTGACCTTAAACAAATGCCCAGACAAGATGCCGAAGAGGACCAAACTGCTGCCACAACAGACGCTCCAGGTGCACCCGCCTCATTCCCTGGTTTCTGAGGGCTTCACAGTCAAAGCCATGATGAAAAACTCAGTCGTAAGTGATCTTCCTCGATTGAACGCACTTGCTCCGAAGCAGGGGACATGAGGTTGTAGAGGATGACAACCCCCAGGATGGATTCCAAGTCCAGGTCCTGGGTACTGTTTGTCAGAACTGGCAATGACACGGTCGGTAGCCGACTGTGCCCAACAGTGTGCAGAGACCTAGGCTAGGTGGTTAGAGAGCCTTCGGGGCAGGTGATGTACTGGGCTAGCTTAGGAGCACCTTTTTGAGAAAGTGTGCTTTCTCCACTACCCCAAATTACACTTAAACTGTAGGAGGAAAATCCTTACCCTTAGTGCAAACTAAATTAGTTCCACTCAGTAAAGGGCCTCCTGGAGTGAAGTTCCTAAGAAGTCATAGGCTTGCAAAATTTAACATGAACCAGTATGGGACACATAAACTCATCAATAATCTAAAGTAATTTATCTCATCTCAGACATTTTAGAATGCCTTAGAATTTACTTAGCAACATTCTGACAGAAAAGGTCTTAGCCTGTTAAAGTACTCAAAAGTTACTTCTGTGAAGTCTGGTTCCTAATAAGCCTTTTAAATACATTTTAAATAATACGAGCTGTATTTCAACTGTCTCTATTAATACAATCCCTATTTCATTTTTATGACTTGTGGTAATAAAAATAAAATATTATTAACACCAATAGGGGAAAATATTTAAAGGCACACAAATGGTTTAGCTATCTGCCTAACACTGCTTTTAAACCTTCTTGTGTATGAAATACCAACGGATTTGGTATGCTAAACCATGTTTGTCTACTGAGTGGGCACCTGTTTAGGAGTGTGGGATTAAATATTAAATGTAGTTTTCAAGTTTGTAAAATTTACACCCTGAGAGGATCTTATTATACAGCAATTCAATATATCAGCTTAATAGTGTTCTCCGTTGTCCCATTATTTTTCTACTTACATATTGCAAGAGTAATACATTTTTCTAAATACATACTTAAAGGACACAAATGAAGTAGATTACCTGTAGACTTTTAGCTTGGATTCCTATGTTGCTACACAGAATTATATTTCTATTTTTTTTTGTTATGTGTATTAGTTGATCTATAGTAGCTAAAAATTTTTGGAGTCTAAAAAATAACTGCAGAGTTACAGGAAACAAAAAGGGTTGTGTCTCTATTCAATACTTAAAAGTTCACCAATTATGAATTTTCTGATGTAGATTTTGTCACATTATAAAGTACTTTTCTCCCTTCAAAAGTATACTTCTCTTCAGAGTGTATACAACAAGGTTCATCTTTTAATTGCACCCAAGTGTACCAAAACCCATCCCCAAACCACTTCTCAGGAGTTTCAGTCACCTTCCCTTCCCCCTGTAAGACTTCAATTCAGTAGGCAATGTCTTTTCAATGTTCTTCCAAGAAAACTACACAGAATCTTCCCTAGGCAGTATAGAAATTATGAAATGGTGATAAATGTAAAGATTTATTATTTGTGAACTAATTTCTTAAAAACCTAGAGACAAGTGGTCTTAAGCAGTAAGTGGTTCTTATGTTTGCATGAACTTTTGTGTTGGTCTCAGTAAAAGTAAGCAATCACAAAAGTCTTTAATAGGAGAGTATTTAAACTCATAGTGATATAGTGTTTTCCATTAAAATTTGAAAGGGGGTAGATAATTTGGAGATTTTCAGATTATTTTCCTTCTCGGAGTATGATGATAAAGTCCAGGATCAAAAACCAGTTAACAAGTATTTATTCCCTCTATCAGCAAAAAGTGGACCCTTTATGGCTTATACAAACCTCATCAAAAAGTCACCTAGGACAGGCATTGGGAAGCACACTGTAACCTCATGCTCAGGTGGCAGAGCCTCCTTGAAGATAGCCTGGGCTACACAAGAAAAAAAGGAAGTCTACAGTGCATATAAAGACCCTGACTCAAACACACACAGCAAGCTAGAATATGGATGTAAGGCTATGAAGATGTCCCTTGTAGGCTCTGACTCCAGGCCCTCCAGAAAACAGGCTAAGAAAGCTATGGAATTTCAAAAAGACACAATCGCCAAGATAGACCATACACAAGATGAGAAAAACATGAATTACTTGCCAAAATGGCACAGTAATGAGTGTGCCCCCTGTTTAAGTCCATGGTTAAGCTTAGATTTGAAGGCATAACTAGTTGAAAGAGAGGCTGAGATGGGCTGTAACTGGTAGCTCTGTGGCTAGCTCGAACTTGTTATGTTTTATTACTGTGGTAGCAGGGTGATGGGACACTGGGGATCATTAGAAGTCATGAACTACCTACCAGTGCTGAAGCTAGTGCATTATGGTGAGGAGAAACATAGAGACAAACAGAAGAGTCACTATGCAAATGGTTAAACATCTATGGCTGGCACTGCAAGCATTCATTCCACCCAGAGCATGTAGTAAGGATGGTAGATTCGGATGGAAGCCCTCATCACCCCCACACCTCAGGTAGGTCATGTCTCCCAAACTGTTCTCTACCAGTCAGTTATCAATACAGCTAGACTAAACTTTCCAGAACAAAGTTCTCCTGATTACATAATGCAAATATTTGGGAGCTATAAAAAACAAACAAACAAAAAGCCCATACTTCCACAGAGGCAGCCACAATTATTCTTAGATAATTTCGTGCATTTATACAACCTATCTTGACAATATTCACCCCTTATCCTCCGTCCCTCTCTCCCTGACTCCCTAATAACTGCCCCTCCCACCTTCCTCTTTTGTTTCCCATAACCCACTGAGTCCATTAGTTCTGCCTGCGTGTGTGCGGGTGTGTCATCGTTCACCTGAGCATGGCGGCTTGTCAGGTGCCACGCAGCAGAAAGAAAATGGACTTCCCTCAGCTTCCTGCTGCCACCAGTTGTCAGTGGCTCTTTAGCGAGGGGTGCCCCTCAGGAGCCCCTCCCCTCGTTCATATTGGCATATTAACTGGCTTTATCTTGATTAGGCCATGCCCTAAGAATTCCGAAGTGCAATGGCCGCGTCATGTCCAGAGGACACCGCGCCTCCACGCCCTCTGGCGCATACATTCTTTTGGACCCCTTTCATCGGTGTCTCCTGAGCTCTGGTGGGAGCCTGGTGGGAGCCTGGGCGTGAATGTTCCATTCTCAACACTAATCATTGTTCTCTGCATGGCCTAGACCAGGAGACTTCTATAATTTAATCCTAGTCTATACTTTTTAAATTCATAAGCACCCCTCCCCTCCCATTCTTTGTTGCTTTAGCTAACTGAAACCCAAGAGACTGAATGGTGGTTCTTGTTTGGGCTGATGCTGCTTCTTTACTGACCGCCCATCCCTTTACATAACCTGCATTTACAGCACCACACTGTCACCAGATAACAAAGGTATGCCGATTGGCAGGTATGTGCACTCCCAATACTCCCTTAACGGCCAGGGATGGAGCTGTCAGTAAAAGAAGACAGGCAGTGAAGCAGCTGGTTAGCACAACGCCTGCTGCTTTAAGGACCCTCCTAATAGCTGCCCCTCCCCATCCTGTTATCCCTCACTCACTCTTTTCTTATTTGCATTATACTTATATCTGCTTGTGTTTTAACCCCTTGTATAAGTTCCCTGTGAAAACAGACTCTACTAACTCATCCTCAGATTTTACCAGAGGCAAACAATGGATTTGATAACTAATGAAGGAAAGGCACTGTTTTCGTCTTGTCTTCGCGGCCTTGTCATTAAAATGGATTCTTGTCTCTACATTTTTTTTTAACATTCACACAATTAGGAGACCAAAAACATTGCTTAAAACACAGTTTGGCCATGATGGTTCTAACCTTCCAATGCTCAGATACTCACTGCCCTGAGCAAAAGCTCTCACCTCCTGTGAGTTCCACTGAGAGCTGGCTACTGTTGCTTTTCACGTACGTGTTTACACATGTGCACATTGATTTATACACATACCTTCACTATCTGTACTTTCTACCTTACTTGCCCAAGGGCCGCCATCATGGCTTTCTTGCTGGTCCTGATACACCGGCATGTCTACCTTGGTGATTCTCTTTCCAGTTCCTTTGCCTGTAGTGTAGAGACCGCCTTCTCTTGATGTCTCCATTTCTTTGTTAAAAGGTTGACTTTGTAGTAAGGTATTCTATTCTCTGACTAAAAATCTAAACCATGCAATCTTTCCCTCCGACCCTGTTCTCTAACGCCTACAGGCTCGCCTACTCAGATGCTCTGATGTGATAACTGTGCAGTTGAACCTGTGCTTTCCCCATTGGAGACTCAGCCTCTGGAGGCCTGGCATGTTATTGTTTCATCCACTGCTTCCTCTCCAGTTGAGGAAAAATCCCTGTCCCATAGTGTGGGCTGTATTTTCTTCCTTCCTTCCTTCCTTCCTTCCTTCCTTCCTTCCTTCCTT